GCTTGGGCAACAAGTTTTTTCCGCCTTCTCTCAAGTTTGGTTAGAGAATTTGTGCGTGCTGATGAGGAAATTGAGAAGCTTGATAAACTTGATGCAACTAGGTTCATGATTAAAATAAAATACTCCATTAATCACAACGAAGTGTTTAACGTGAACATTAACAATAGTGCTTACTATGTGAAATTAGTGGAGGACATCGCATAGACCGAAAAGATTGGTTATTCCTAAGGTTGGTGAGGATGAGGTCCCATCGGAATCCTTTGCCTCTAATGATGATGAAGGCGCGTGGAATCCAACTGATGATGAGGTTGAGTGAAGGTGTGAAAAATACACAAAAGGAGGGGTTGAATTGTGTTTCACGTTTTATTATTATTTAGCTTCTGATCGGAGTTTCAGAATAAGAGATGATGTTCAGATTCTGAGTTAATTCGGTTGGCAACGAATACAACAGAAGTAAATAAAATAATAGCAGAAGACATAAAATATTTATACTGGTTTGTCCCCTAATTGAGAGTAGTTCAGTCCCCTTGTCTCACAAGAGTTTTTTATTATAATCACTTCATGATTACAATCGCTTATGCTTCTGCAAAAGACTTTTACAAATGCTCAGACCAATTGTCTGAGACTTCCCTTGCTTATAGTGCATGTCTAAGGCTTACCCTTTACCTACATCATCAGACTGAGTCGCCTGCTCATCTGTCTTCTGGTTGAGACTTTCCTTTGCTTAGAGCACATGTCTAAGACTTTCTTTGCTCACACCATATGACTGAGCCACCTGTTCATCTGTCTTCTGGTTGAGACTTCCCTTTGCTTAGAGCACATGTCTAAGAATTTCTTTGCTCACACTATATGACTGAGCCACCTGCTCATCTATCTTCTGGTTGAGACTTTACTTTGCTTAGAGCACATTTCTAAGACTTCCTTTGCTCACACCATCTAACTGAGTCGCCTGCTCATCTGTTATATGGTTGAGACTTACCTTTTCTTAGAGCACATGTCTAAGACTTTATTTTTCTGAATAAGACTAGCTGAATAAGACATTTACAACTCAAGCACTTAAGCAATGAGACTTACGTGGCTTAAGCATCTTGGCTCAAGACTTGCTACTTGAATCTCAATGAGGTAAGAATTTTTTTCTCAAGCACATAGCAGGAGACTTAATCTAAACTATTGATGGCTCAACAGAATAGAGAACAAGGTATACATGATGCACACATCAGAGGTACGGGAGATCACCATAACAAAGACCTAAAGCACTTAAGATTTCTAAATATATACAAGGGTAAGAAATCTTAAGGCTTTTACAATTACAACCTAAAACAAAAAATCTGCATATTACATAGAGTTGATAATTACTTGATCTGGCTACTCCTTCAATAGAAAAATCCTTATTAAAAATTCAGACTTAAATCTTCAACCATATATATAGCCTTTCCAGAAACTAGTCATTGAGAGGGTGACTTGTTCAAGTGTCTTTGCTTTTGCTCCATAGTACAAGAGACGTTGAAGATGAGTGCACAACAGAGTCTGAATCTAATGTGTATCACGTTTAACCTTTGAGTCTTTAAGAGATTCTGTACTAATAGAGCCATTAGGGGCAGACATCCATAGAACGTACTAGCTTTTCTTGAGCCTTGCAATCTTAGAGACTCGAGCTGACAGGCTTATAAGACAATACAACTTGCATTTAGTAGTACGAATAATCCACAGCTTTATCACCAACTCTAAATGGTACCAGAAGCTAATATATAATTACTAAGTTTCGAAACTCGTCTGAATGTTGAGGCCTTCAGTTCAAAGTCTTCATCAAACCACACTAGAAATTGTTCTTCAGACTCTGCCACCAGAAGCTAGCAATGAAGCAACTTTAAGTGTATCTTAAGTAAAATAGATTATGATTATTAATGTACAAGAACCTGCATAAGTAAAACACACATCATATAAACCATTGTTCTTTTAATACTTTTGTTATCATCAAAACTAAAAGAAAATATGTCAAGAACAAATCTTGTTCTAACAATCTCCCCCTTTTTATGATGACAAACACAAGTATTTAAAGGACAATATTGGGCCTTTAATTTTCTCTGCAACGATAGAGTATGAGGTTTGTAAGCTCCCCCTGAGTCTGATGGTTCACATTTGAGCTTGTTCTAGCATTAAGAACTATTTTTCAAGAAAAATAAATTAGTCTTTTTAGCAACATCAGGGTCTGAGGTTTGTAAGCTCTCCCTGAGTCAAACAGTTCCAAGGTTGAGGTTTGTAAGCTCCCTTTTAGTTCCATATTTAAGAACACCAAGATAACATCATTTTAACTCCTTTTGGAAACACTAGAATATGAGGTTTGTAAGCTCCCTCTGAGTCTCATAGGCTAAGTCAGAGGTTTTTAAGCTCTACCTTAACACTATGTACAAGAGAGTTAAAATATGTCGCGTTTTTTGGCTTTCCTTGGAAACACCAGAATATGAGGTTTGTAAGCTCGTTCTGGGTCTGATAGGCTAAGTTTGAGGTTTGTAAGCTCTTACTTAGACCTATGTACAAGAAACTAAAAAATGCGCCCTGGGCAAGTAACAGAAAATAAATGACAAGAAAATAAATGACCAATATGTATTCAATGAGTTCAGTTTCCACTTAAGTACTTACTATTATTTCTCCCCCTTTTGTCACATCAAAAAGAATAAAAAGAAAAGAGAAAAAAATAGCACTAATAAGTGTAACTCAGATCATCATTACAGTATCAGTTTCCAAGAAGGAAGAGTAATCAAGTAAATAACAGTCATTAAGGTTTGTAAAGTGCACACTTTGAAGTCTTAGTGGTCGCTACTATTCCAAGAATTAAACAAATATTAATTTTAGACACTTGGTATCCACAGAAGTCATTATAAAAATATCTCACTCCTAAGGATTTTCATCAATCACCAACTTAAGGATATGGCATCAGCAACTGAGAGTCATAATGCATCTGTCATAACAAACGCAACCGAGAGCTCTACAAGCTTGGATATCCAATCCCCTCAGAGGCGAGCTGCTTATGAGTCCTTTACAACTGTACCTCTGCTCTTAACACAACTTGCTTCTAAAGAAGCTACACCAGCAGCACCTAAACGACCTATAGAAGGTGGTTCAACAGTAGCTTCCTTGAAGCCTTACAGAAGAATCATGAAGAGATCAAGGAAGAAAAAAAGGAGGGTTGACAAGTCGTTCTATCGCTCTCTTCCATGCATAGAAGAGGAATAAGTGACTGATTCAAAAAACGAGGAGGTGGACTATAACAACAGTGGATGCTGATGGGCACGTGATGTAATGGCTATGGATGAATTCTAGACAACATCTTGTACCCCTTTTTTTTTTTGTTAATAAGTTGTAATCCTCATTTAATTAATGAAATTTTTTTTCAAACCAATACTTCTTTATCATGCATTTACATTCCAAAAAATTTCTTTAGACTTTATGAAGGTACGCCATTAAAGTGAAACTGACACAGAAACGACTGTTAGAACATATCAATCATAAACTCATAGTTATTTAGAGAATCTTAATAGGTTAGATTACATTACCAGGAATCATTATTAAAATGTTGATTTAATAAGTACTTAAATAATATTAAACTCAAGACAATAAATGTAACACGTCTATAAAAAGTCTCTAGTAAGCTTTCTTCCATCTTCACTTAATCCATAGAACATATAGATGTATAAAAAAAAGCAGATATGGGTTCCAATGAGAGATTTCAGGAAGGCAGCATTACTAAATGCAGCAACTCAAGCAAATCAAAACAAGACTGTTGCACCCCAAAATTTGCCCTCACTTTTTTTTCTAACTTTGACTGGCTTTTACTTCGCATTCATCTGCATATCATCTAGGTCGGTCATTTCTCACATACTGTCCATGTTATCAGCCATAATGGATTTATCGGGATTACAACCGCTTTATTCGCATTTTAGACAATTTAAACCAGTTCAAATGTTGAGTTCCATGTCGAAATCGAGCGAAAGTTGTTCTCTTCCTGTTGGTTTAGTCTGTGCTGATAATTTTGGGTGCGTTTCGGTGTTCGCCCGTTTTTTCCGTTTTTATTTCGTAGTTTTTGTGATTTATTTCATTTCATTTAATAGTTAATTTTTATTTAGGTTTATTTTATTTGTTTAGAATTTACTTAGGATTTTATTTAATAGAATTTTAATTTAGAACCAAATAGTTTTAGAATTTTTTTAATAGAATTTTATTTCATTAGAATTTTAATCAAGAATGTTGTTAGAGAGAAGAAGAAGTAAGATGTTCGTGTCTTAAATGTGGATGTAGATGTATAATAAGCAATCCGGAAGAAGTAGAAACACATTTGAAGAGAAAGGGATTTAAGGATAATTATTGGTTTTGGACATCAAATGGAGAAAGATAATTTATTGCGACATAATCTTGACGTTATGCACATAGAGAAGAATTTTTTCGATAATATATTCAACACGGTGATGGATGTCCAAGGTAAGACAAAAGATAATAAGAATGCTAGAAAGGACATGGAACTGTTGTGTAATAAAAAATATTTAGAGTTGAAGACTATATCGAATAGGAATCTATTAAAACTCAAAGCTACTTATAGTCTAACTCCTTAAGAAGTCAAGCTTGTTTGTCGATGGTTAACTGAATTGAGAATGCTCGATGGTTATGCTTCTAACTTGGCACGGCGTGCTAACGCCAACACTGGGATGTTGAATGGAATGAAAAGTCATGATTGCCATGTTTTCATGGAACGATTGTTTCCAATTGCCTTCGGCTCATTGCCAACACAAGTGCTTAGTCCACTAACTGAAATTAGTCATTTATTTAGAGATATTTGTGTGTCAATTTTAAGAGTGGATGACCTCATTAAGTTCGACCAAGCCATTCCTCTAATTCTATGTAAGTTGGAACAAAATTTTCCACCTGGTTTTTTCGATTCAATGTAACATCTTCACGTGCATCCTGCATGTGGAGCTTTGCTTGGTGGACCTATTCAGTATAGGTGGATGTATCCTTTTGAAAGACTCATGGGTGATTCAAAGAGATCAGTGAAAAATAAGGCTAAAGTTAAGGGTTCAATATGTGCATATTATTTGCATCAGGAATCATCACAGTTTTGCTCTCATTATTTCAATCATATGATGTTAATTCCAAGAATCATAAGGAATAAAGTTAATTTTATAGAAAGAAGTACATTCACCTTATCAGTCTTTGGTCTTCCTGGTCGGAGTTCTGGAAAGACGAATGTGCACTGGCTGATCGAAAAAGAATTGCAATCTGCTCATGTTCATATATTGATTAATTGTGTTGAAGTTAAACCATACATTGAGTAAGTATACCAACTGGATATTTATTTTGAACACATTGGATATAAACTTCTTACATTCTAACTTACTTTTAATATGTTTCGATATAGGTCATTTAATAATTACTAATATGAAGTCACCGGCGAACAAGCAACAACCATTGATATACATGCTTATTTTCCATCATGTTTCAAGCAACAATTGGCATGTAGTGTTGAATTGTGTCCACAATTACTCCATTTGAGGAACTTGTCTGCAGGCCCTATTAAACATGTGAACAAATGACACACATACTTTGTAAATGGATGTAAATTTCACACTGATGAATGGACAGAAGAAAAGAAAACCATAAATAATGGTGTGTTTGTAAAAGGAGTTACAGATGGTGGTGAAGACGACTTCTATGGTGTCATTACGCACATTTACGAGTTGGAATATAATTATTTGGACTCAAAAAACAAAGTTGTCTTGTTTTATTGTGATTCGTATGATCCATCTGCTAGAGGCACAAATATAAATAAAAAACATAACATTATATAGATTAAAATGGACCGAAGGTACAAACATTATGATCATTTCATCATGGCACATCTTATCAGGCAAGTTTATTATGTCCCTTATCCTTCAATTCAGCGAGGTAAGCAAGATTGGTGTGTTGCAATCAAGTCAAACCCCATAGGCCATATTGAAACTGATGAAATTATAGAAGACCTTGCTTATCAAGTCAATGAAATGTCACAAAATAGTAATGTGATTGAAGTTGAACAACTTATAAGTTTGTGTGATAACGAGGTTGAGGGCCAGCAAGTTGATGCGTCTATATTCTTGTCAGCGAATAATATGGATGGAGATGATGAAGAGTTGGAATCCGAGGATAGTATTGAATCAAATGAAGATAATGAATATTTTGAGGATACACAATTTGAATAGATCGTTTTTTTTAAATATTGTTGTCTATATTGTTATCATGCCTTTAATATGTTCAAACTAAATAATACATATTGTGTATTTGAATGATAGGTCTATGGTGTCAACATATTGTTCATTAATTGTTTTATAATAAAATTATTTTCTTTTAATTAGGTAAAATGCCACCCTGTCCCGAGGATACAGGTAAGGGTAAGAAAGGTCATCGCACGAGGATACGTGTAGTTGAGGTGCCTCAGTCTTTCATGTATTCTCCTTTTCCTCAGTCTAGTCAGGGGGTTCAACAGATTGTGCCTTATTCTAGTCATGGGGCTTAACAAACTACACCTCAGTTTAGTTAGGGGGCTCAGCAAACTATGCCCTAGTCTATGAGCACTTCACTGCTCACTTCATAGGATGGTCCACCAGAATTTTTTATACCCACACCATTCCAGCCTACATATGTATCACCATCAGACGTACCCCCACCATACATGCAGTCTGGGGTATCTAGCATCCCATATCCTACACCCAATTAGCCCGAGCCTGAGGGATCCCGGATCCCACATCCCCCACGTGGATCCTCGTCTTCCCATCACCCTAAAGGCTCACGCGCCTCACATTCTCCACACGTCCTCGCCATCCTATCACCGTAGGGGCTCACACACCTCACCTCACATGTACCCACATCAGTCCATCAAGAGCCGGATGACCATATATTGCCCGATCAGGAGGAGGAGGAGGAGGAGGACATTGAGGATGTGGATGTGGCTGTGATGGATATTCAACATGAGAAGTTTGACGGAAGATGGGTTATTAGACCTATTGGAAACTCGTAAGTTTCTTTCTTATATTTTAAGCATATGCAAATGTTTCCATTTTTTAAATTTAATTAAACTTATTCAATTTATTGTCGTTTAGTTTCTTTCCAGGTAGGTTTGCTGCAGTTAACATAAAATAAGTTATTCAAGAGTTATATAAACAATCTTGGAATACTTTTGAACAACTTATGAAGAAGGATTACGAGGAGTATAAAAAATGGTTTGGCAAATTTTGGGTATAATATTTTCTTTAAGTAATTAATTTTTTAATTACTAACTGTTCTGGACTGGGCCCAGGCTTGACCGGACAGGCCCAGTCGAAAGATGTACGGGGAAGGCCCAAATTTCCCTATGTTGAGCACAGGTGTTCCCGTCGACCAGAACGCTCCCCTCGTCGGGCAGGACGCTTCCTCCGTCGGGAAGAACAACGTGTCCTCCACACGTTCTCCACGTGATTCCCCTCACGGGAACATGTCATCAAACAACTATCCACCTCTGAAAGAGATGGTCAGCCCAACTTCCGGAGATCACGGGACAGTTAAACTAGGGCGAAGACCACGTGTTGGTCTTCACTACGCCACGTAAGCCCTAGCAGTCACTTGGGTTGGGCCTGACAATCCAGCCCAACACAAGTGACCGTTGGCCCTGCACTGGGGTCTCTCTATAAATACCCTCTTTCACTAGAGGGTCAGGTATTCACTTCTTAACCTCTCTTCTGTATTTGCTTCCACTCTGGTCCATTACTTACTTTGGCATCAGAGTGTCTTGCAGGTACACCCCCTCCTCGTCCATATTCCTTGTGAGCAGCTTGCAGATCAACGACGCGTGGCAGACCATTGTTCTCCTTCTGATCAGGTCAGATCACTAACTTTCTTCTTTTTTAATTATCTTATAATTTTTTTCAATATTGTAGGAGAAGTGTGCATGACACGAACTAGATAAAAAGATGGTTGAGCGTAATTTTAAGAAGAGAGCAACAACCCGACTTTCTGACATGCTTAGGCGTGCAAGGCTTGGTTGGGAAGAAAGAGGGATCAAGCCTCCGTGGATGAGCGAAAATGTATTTAAAGAAATGCTTGCTTATTGGAAAACATATGAGTTTAAGAAAAATCTGAAAAAGTAAAGCAACGTAAACTATCAGAAAATGGAGCCGCTAATCATAAGGCTGGAAGCATTAGTATTGCTGATCATGTTGAACGGACGATAATTATATTTTTATCTCACTACTTTTTTAAAATTATATTCTTAATTGTGATATATTTTTAATTGAAGTTCCATGTGTATTAATTAGACTAATGCTAAAGGAAGAACCCCATTAATGCAAGAGCTTCATGAGAGGACTTATCGAGAAAGAGATGGAGAGTATAGCGACAAACGTGCGAGAAATACTTAAGTAAGATGGTATTAATATTTAAATTTAATATTTAATTTTTTTATTTAAATTAATTTCCTAAAGTCTATTGTTTAATTTAATTTTTTTCCGTATGTGTAGGCGGAGTAACAAAGATTGAAGGCAGAATTTTTATTTCAACGTCCTGAGTTAGGTGGTCCATGTGGGCAACATCCTCTTGATCCAGCTGTTGATCAATATCTTTGGTTGAAAGTAAGTAAGGGAAAGAACAAAAATGGGAAAATTTATGTTAATGGACCTTTAGCTAGCAACTACAAAAAAGGGGATATGTTTTCTTTATTTAGGAGAATTGCAGACGGGAAAGGATCTTCACGTCCTCCGACATTAACCCCTCAAATGGCTAAACAATTAGACAATTAGCTCAAAGTGAAACAGCACGTGAAGCTGCAAAAATGCTGAATTGAAAGAAATGAGAAGAAAACAAATTGAGTTGGAAGAAGCATTGGGAATTTCACAAGAGCAAATAATGCGTACACAACAAAAAATACAAGAACAAATACAATAAGAAATGCAACAACAAATGCAACAAACATTTCAACAATAATATGGTGGTGGTAGAGTTGGAGCAGTTGGTAACCAAGGAAGAGTAAGCGAGAATGAGGAAGAAAATGAGAGTGAGGAGGAGTAACGATGATGAATTTAAATATTTTGAATTAATTATTAACTTATTTAATTATGGATTTTTTAAATTAAGTATGATTTTAAATATTTTTAATTATTTATAAATTAAACATTTTTAATTAATTTCTAAATTAAAATTATTTATTATATTTATATTATTATAAATATTAAAATTAATATTTAGAATAATATAAATATATCACTTTTTTAATTATATTATTTATTGATTGCGTGGTGTATTTCATTTGACAAATTCAAAAATTTTGTCAGGTGAAATTCACTCAACAATCTTTTGAATATTCAAAATTTGCCAGATGAAATTCACCTCGCAAGTTTTTGTCTTTTTTCTCTGCTGCCCTGCCCTGCTCTGCTCTACGTGTTAGATGCTGTGATGTCTGAGAAATGGGTTGTAATGTGAATTTCACCTGGCAATGTTGCAAGGAGAAATGCACTTGACTAACTTGCAGCGTGAATTTCTCCTTGCAACTAGTTGTGACTAATGTTTTTGCAGGGTATTTTGTATACCTCGTAAAAGTTATGTTAAAGGGTGATATATGCATTTGTGAGGTGAATTTCACCTAACTAATTTTATTTTTTCTTGTAATGGATTGATTGGCGATTTATTAATCCTCTGACTATATAGAAGTTTGTATGACTGACTAGATTAATTGAACTCTATCAATCATATAAAGAATGTGGCTTTTTCAAATAGTTAGCTTGATCAATAATTTATTTGCAATAATACGAAGATGATGAATTTTGTACATGCCTTTGAATATAAAAACTCCTAGATATTTAAATGGTGTAAGTCCAACAATAAATTCAAATTTACCTGTAATACACCTCAACCGAAGTCCAGAAGTACTTCCATCATTGTACAACCACTATTTATATAATTGATACTAGCGTCCAGACAGCCACTCGCGTGTCTGTCTATCCATTTTTTTAATGCGCATGAATGAAAATATAAACGATATTTTTATTTAAATATTTTTTTTAAAAAAGATAATATGTGAAAGTTAATAATAAGAAGTTATGTGGAAGTTAATAATAAGAAATTATTAAGTAAATTATATAATAAAGCAAGTGTAAAAATGATAGAAAAATAAGTCACACCAAAACAAAGTATTCTCTTTATATATAATTATAGATAATATATTCAAAAGATTTGGTCTAGTGGTAAAAAAAAATGTTTTGGACTCGGAAATTCATCATTTAAACTCCACTTATACTTTGAAGAAATTTAAATGTAAATCATTTTCTAAGTTTCCAACCATAATTCGATGGTTATTGTTATGGTTTTGAACCTCAACTTGTCTAGAGTTTCAAGAGTACCACCAAAAGGACGTCGGCAGCTAAGAAACCAATATACCTTTCCCACTCACTTGTCCACTTGTTTCTATTTCTTTCTCTAATAGGGACACAAAAGATGAGACATTGGATTAAGTCCTTTTAAGTGGAACTAAAATGGGCCCTAATTTATTATAAAGCCAGATTGCATTGAATTAAATAATGCACAAAATGGCATAATGATAGTGGAGAAAAAGTGATAAAAACATCAACAACTAATAATAGTTTATTCAAACTTAAACTAAACCCAGCTATACTATATCAATTCTACCTTATTAACTTCCCTATATATAATCCCTTATCAAGAAGTTCTAAAGAACTAACTCTTCAACTTCATCAGCTAAAAACATGTATGCTTCTTCTTCCTTTACTTCACCACTCCTCCATGAGCTTCTTGTGGAATCCCACACAAGAAGGCTACTTTTCCAAGGCCCTATTGATCACCAATCATTAACAACCTCTTATGTTCACACACACAACAATTCAACAAACTTATATTTTGGTCTTAGCGCAACTGATGCAAATATTTTGATGATACTTGCAGCCCTATTATGCGCTCTTATTTGCTCTCTTGTGTTAAATTCAATTATAAGGTGTGCCTTGAGGTTTTCAAATGTAGCCATCAATAATAACGTTTCTTCGAGTTCGAGGACGAGCAGCAACTCTTCATCTCAATTGGTCAACAAAGGAATCAAGAAGAAGGCTCTCAAGACATTCCCAACAGTAAGTTATTCAACCGAGCTGAAATTACCAGGTTTGGATACGGAGTGTGTGATATGTCTCTCAGAATTTACAAAGGCTGAAAAGGTGCGCATTTTGCCGAAATGCAACCATGGTTTCCATGTCCGTTGCATTGACAAATGGCTAAAGGCACACTCATCATGTCCCAAGTGCAGACAGTGCCTCCTTGAGACTTGTCGAAAGATTGTTGGATCGGAAGAACCACCGCCTATGTTGCCGGTGCCAGAAACTATTATAACGATTCAACCGCTAAACCGTGAAGCTGTTGAGCGTAGCTATAGGGAAGAAAGCTGACAAATGTTCATAACAGTTTGAAACTCTTAGTTGCTTTAAGTTGAGGCCAAAAGTAAATATACAGTAGTCAAAATTTTGAGTGGAACTGTATTTCAACAACATTCTGCAATAAGTAATTATTTAAATCAATAATATAAATGTAATTATTTTAAATAAATTTACAAATCAAGTGATTTAATGTAGATAATAATTTAAGTGACAGAGTTTTGGGATAAGGATTAAAGGGATTGCTTTTCATTTTAACAAAATATAAAAGGATTAATTGATGTATATTATTTAAATTTGAAGTTTCCTGTAGTGGTTTTTCCAATGAGCTGTCCATTTCTTTTAGTCTACGTGAGGTTCGTTTTTTTTTCTTGACTTTAGGATTCATTCTACTACTGGTTGGGTAATATGAACCCAAAAATTAAAATTTATTTCGGATTGGTCAAAAGTACAATAAAATCAGCTCAATCATTGAAGTTCAATCCGACCAAAGGGTGATTAGATAAACAACCATATTGAAGTGTCACACAAAAGTAAAGCCCCGTCATCTTCATCATCTCGACTGTTGATTTTTATTCAATAGCTCTCTGTGTTTTACGTTGTATATAATATATAAATAGTCTAAAATAAAAGAGATGAAAGAGACGAAATATAAACTTACAATAGCGTGTTAAATGAATCACGAGGCAGATGTCCTTTCCGAGACTTCTTTGTGATGAATGTTCGAATAATATCAATATCATTAAGTGACTTGAATATCTCTCGCTCGGTGTAACATACCATCAAGTCATTGAACCACACGTCATTGATATCTTATTGCGCAATTTAGACTTGATAATCTTCATTGCTGAAAAAACACTTTCAACAGATGGTGTCGAGACCGACAATATTAAAGTTAACTCAATAAGTTTCTAAACAAATAGAAATATCAAATGTTTCTCAGTTTGAACCATCTTCATAGCCAAACTTTGAACATCTTCACAAGTGGAAAATGAAGCATTTCTTTACACTTGAAGAACATAAGTTTCAAGTTGATCCCTTATTGTTCCACGGTCATCATCAGAAAAGTCTGCATCATAAATATCAGCAAGACGAGCAAGCTTATCAACATCAAACTTGGAGAAAGAGTTCTTGGGGTCAAGACATGAGAAGCAATCAAGGATAATGTTACTTCCTTCACTAAAGCGGTGATCCATCTCCACACGTATTTTGTCAATAGCAACATAAAAAATCTCTGCACGGCAATGATGAAGATTAATGACAGTCCTCTCTTCTACCCTTGAACGGCCCCGAACCGGTATTTTCTCATCCATATTTGCCACCAGAATACCTTTAGCAACACAAAGTCCTTGGACATCGGAAAATAAATTATCCCAACCACTCTCTCTTATTGTGACCAACCGAGCTTTGACAATATCAAGTAATTCTCTGGCATTCACAATATTAAGATCTTTTCTTTGCAAGACAATTGAAAGCTTATTTGTGATACCAAACAACTTTAACATTAACTTCAAAAACAAAAGAAAATTTAAAGCTCTCCATTTTTCCTATCAAACTCGCTGCTTGAGTCGGTCCATGTCCATCTTCATCAACATTAAGAACCTTTAACACGGAAGACCATATTTGATCCAAACGAAGCAATGTAGTATGATGTGAACCCCGTCTAGTATCTCTTAGTCTAGTGAGACTAGATGATTGGTGCAATCCCCTTCCTCTAGATATGTCACCAATCTCAAGTTTATTTAAAATATCTTGGTGTTGTGCCTCCGTCAAAGCATCCTTCCACTTGTTGTGGTCATAATCAAGGAGGTGTACTCAAAGAAATCATGAATAGATGAGCAACTACTAACAACAGACACAACAATCAATTGCAAACGATGAGCATAGCAATGGACATAGAAAGCATAAGGATTTTCATCTAGAATCTTTTTTGCAAACCATTAAATTCACCTCTCATATTTGAAGCTCCATCATATCCTTACCCTCGTATCCTTGAAATAGATAACGTGTACTTATCAAGAATACCATAAAGAGTATTCTTTAATAACTCGGATGTAGTATCTTTGACATGATGCAGAGTAATAAATCTCTCCACAACATTCCTCTTGTCATTTAAAAACCTAAAACAAATTCAACAAGATTACTTGACGGCATAAAGAATAATAGGTAATGAAAATTGGAAATTGGAAAATAAAACTACTAACCTCAACATCACCACCATTTGCTCTTTGACGGGTATATCACATGACTCATCAATAAGCACAGAGAATTGTCTATCACCAAGCTCTTCCATAATCACCTTGGTAACTTCATGTGTACAACACATTGCAAGCTCCTTTTGAATGTCACCGGAAGTCATTGTGCAATTGTTTCCACCATGGTCAAAAGCATCTCTCAGTTGTTCATTCTTAGATTTTACCCAATCTACCATCTCTCTAAAATTTCTCTTATTTAGAGAAATAGAGGATTCATCAAGGCCATGAAAAGCCATGTCTTGTGCAATGAGATATCTTGAACAATCTATAGAATAAGTCAAATGAATCTTATACAATTTTTCTGATTCCTTGGTTGCTTTAGCAAACTTACTTGCCACACTTTGTCTTTGATTATTATAATAATCGCAGTGCTTGACACATGAGTTGTGCAAACTATTATGACTACCAACGTGATCTTTCAAGCCTTGCGATGCATACTTCCAATCTTTATATCCGTTTTTAGTGAAGACTTCAAAACCAAAGTGCCCGGGCCTCCCAGGTTTCTTAAAGAGAGAGTAATAAAAACAATAAGCAACATCCTTGATCTCACTGTATTCTAACCATGTATAATTTTTATAACATGATTTATTAAATGCTCTTTTAACACTTCCAAATGGAGTACGAGGAAAGCTTGGCATATCTGGTTGCATTGGACCTTTCAATATATATGCCCTCCTCACTTGGTCTTGAATATCCGGAGCATTCTCATTATTTTGTTTCATATGATCACGCACAATCTCATTTGGGTTAAACCCATTAACCACATTAGGCGGCGGTGGTTCTGGTTATGATTCTGACTCAACCAAAAATCTCCTCATCTATGAAAAAAAAATCCAAACATAACATAACAAATGGAATCAAATTCCAAACATAATCACTTATAAAAAGCACTTAATTTATTATCACTTAATCAATCCAATTCCAAACATAATCACTTATAACATATCCAATTCCAAACAAAAATGAAAAATTTAATTCCAAAAAAATTTTCAAATTCCACGTTTGGTTCTATTTGTTGGTGCAAAGGTAGAATAAATGATGAAAGGTAGAAATATTCTATTAAGAATGACGGTAGAAAAACATGATTAAAGTTACAATGATTGTCACCCTATTTATAAGCTAAAACTAGGGTTACTAGAATAAGATAAAATACTAAAATACCCTCTAACAAACTTAGGGGCTAAGAAAATAGTATAACTAAATAAATATGAATTACTATTAATATTCTAATACCATCCCTTAATTCATATTCCATCAAAACTTGTAACACCAATTCCATCCCTTAGTCTGAGAAATTGATCAGTCTTGATAGCTTTCGTCAGAACATCTGCCAACTGCTTCTGAGTGCTGCAGTGTACAACTTCTAACACTCCACTCTGAACTTGGTGTCTCAGAAAATGATACTTGGTCTCAATATGCTTGCTTCTCCCATGCAACACTGGGTTTCTGGCAAGATTGATTGCAGACTTATTGTCAATCATCAACTTCAGAGGTTTGTCTACTTTAATCTTCAGATCCTGCAACAGATTCAGAATCCACACAGCTTGGCATGCAGTAACAGCACCTGCAATGTATTCAACTTCACAGGTTGACAACGCCACAACAGGTTGCTTCTTGGAACACCAAGAAATGGGACCTCCTAGAAATTTGAACAAGTACCCAGATGTACTTCTTCTGTCAACTCTGTCTCCACACCAATCAGAGTCTGAATAACTCAGAAGTTCTGACTCATTATTTCCTCCAGAGGGAAATAACACTCCATACTTCAGAGTTCCTTTGATATACCTCAGAATCCTGACAGCAGCTTGGTAATGGGACCACTTAGGTTTACTCATGAACCTACTAACCATCCCAACTGAGTAGCAAATATCAGGTCTGGTATTGCACAGATACCTCAGAGAACCAACCAACTATTTGAAGGTTGTAGCGTCCACATCCTTTCCTTCAGAGTCTGAATCCAGTTTCTGATTTGTATCAGAAGGTGTGACAGCCATCTTACAATTCTTCAGATCAAATCTCTTCAGAAGTTCTAATTCATACTTGAGCTGATGCAAAATGATACCTTTCTCAGAATATCTGAACTCCATCCCTAGAAAGTATGTCATTTTGCCTAGATCAGTCATTTCAAATTCATTCATTAGAACCTTCTTGAACGTGGCTATCTCCTGTTCAGAACTTCCAGTCAATAGTATATCATCAACATATAAACATACTAGAGTCATATTGCCTTCAGAAGTATGCTGAACATAGACACCGTACTCCATCTCACATTTCTGAAAGCCTAGCTTCTTGAAAAAAGAATCAATCTTCTGATTCCAAGCTCTGGGCGCTTGTTTCAATCCATATAGAGCTTTGTATAATCTGTACACCATCCCTTCCTGATTCTTTTTCACAAATCCAGGAGGTTGTGACACGTAAACTTCTTCTTCTAATGAACCATTCAGAAATGCAGATTTTACATCTAAATGCATTAGAGGCCAATTCCTGTTAGCAGCTATTGCAATCACCATTCTGATTGTTTCATGTCTTGCTACAGGTGCAAACACTTCAGAATAATCCAGCCCAGGTTTCTGTAGAAATCCTCTGGCTACCAACCTTGCTTTATGTTTGCCAATTGAGCCATCTGGCTTTAACTTCTGCTTGAAAACCCATCTGACGCTGATGGCTTTCTTGTCTTTTGGAAGTTCTGTCAGCTTCCAAGTCTTGTTTCTCTCTATAGCATCAAGTTCTTCTTTCATGGCCTTCAGCCAGAGCTTCTGC